TATTTAACTTCCAACCTAATTTTCCTTAAAATAAGGTCATTACATCCATCCATTCATCATACTCTTTCAATTTATTAAAGTTAATATATCAATCTATTTATCAAAATATTAGTTTGGTCCTTGTACTCTTAGCTTTAGTTCATTTTGGTCCCCTCTACTTTCAAAATGTTCGTTTTAATTTGTGTACTTTCAACTTTGGTTCATTTTAGTTTTTATACTTTGAAAAGGTTCATTTTGATCCATATACTTTTAAAAAGTTATCATTTAGTCTCTCTTTGCAAGGTTTTACACATAAGAAACTCTTTAGTATAAAGTAATGTTTACCTTTCAAGAAATATATTTAATTGTAGCATTGTAATGAAATTGTGATAGAAAAATTGAGATTAAGAACAAAATTAAAGGGACCAAAATGAACATTGTGAAAGTACTAAAATGAACCAAAGTTAAAAGTACAGAAATCAAAACGAACATTTTGAAAATACATGGACCAAAATGAACTAAACCAGCACTTTCTTGAGAGGATGTCTCTCTTTTTGTGCCAACTGATATGTCTAACGCAAATTTTATCAACTTTGGCTTAATAATATATTTCTAACATACAATTTAATTAATAACTTTAATTTATTTTATAAATATTATAGTTTAGATACGTAAAAAACAATAAAACGTTACTATTCTAAATATTTAAAATTAGAAGTTTAGACTAAATTAATAATATTTATTTAACATATTATCATATCTTCTTTTAATTAATTATCAAGTAATAAAGATAAATCTTAAAATAAGAGGTTAAATTTCCATTATATATCCTATTGTTCTAGCTTATCTTCAATTTGAAATTTATGGCCAAAACGAACATAGCTCAGCACTAATTGACATATATCTCAAACTAAGAGGTTGATGTTCGATCACCACACCCATATATTGTACTAAAAGATTTTATTAAATCTCTCAACATGTATATATTGTTTTCTTTTTCTTTTTTAATAGCGCATGTATACATTGTTATTAGGACGAGATTACACCATTTTCTATTTGACATGTTTTTTAGATATAGTAGAGAAGATGATGAGTTAAACGTTTCTTTTAAAGTATTTGTAAAGGCTAAATTGCCTAAGTTTTATTTATCAAGTAGAAATTTTTTCGAATAAAAAAGAACGGGTTGTATTAAAAATGGGTGAATCACGTTAGGTTAACATTTGATAATTTTAGAGATAGATTTAACATAGCGGTATTAAAACCAAGGTTAAGTAGATTAACCTAACTTGGGGAAAGTAACCTACGGTTAATTATCAACAAAATTATCTCATTGGTCCAAAGGGACTAGAGTTAATTAGGAGTGAATGAGTTCCAATCCATAATGGCCATCTACCTTAAGAATTAGTAATTGTTATGTGTTTCTTGACACTAAATTGTAGGGTCAGACGGTTGTCCCGTGAAATTAGTCGAGGTGCACATAAGTTAATCCGGACACTCACGCGTATAAAAAAATAAACGTTATCATCAAAATCATAATTGTTTGTATATTTTTTTTATTTTATTTGTGTTTTAAATTGAAATATTATTTATGAGAATCAAATCAAATCCCACCCTTACATCATCAACCCAATCCCTTGGCCTCATCTTTCTTTATTGGGTAATTATAAAAAATGACTAAAAATTTTGTTGCTCTTAGAAAATTGACCCACATCAAAAATAAGTTTAAAATCTCTAGTGACGTCATTTTATCTATAATTTTACAATTTTGCCCTCATTCATTAAATACAACATTTAACTTCCAATGAATCTTTTACATTGAAAACCCAAACGTTTCTTATATTCTTTTCAAATCTAGATGCATATCATAAGATGACAATTCTTTAATAAATTTTGTTCAAGATTCATGCAATATCGGTTGAAATCGAATGAATCTAATTTTGTTCAAGATCTATGCAATATCGATTGAAATCAAATGAATCTTGGACCTTTAAGCAATTTCAACCGATATTGCATGAATCTTGACTAAATGTTCACCAAGAATGAGTGTCAGGTAAAAGACAAAGTAAAAAAAATTGGTTGGAATCAAATTTTTTTTTTACTACTAAAAGCAGATTTGAATTTGATCCGGTGCCAATTACTACTGAATTAAACTGATGACTTACTTTTAGTAATTTTTTATTTAGAGAAATTGCAGTGGGTAGCAAAAATCTTTTATGTATTTCAAAATATGTCACATGTTTTCTAAAGTTTTCAAATATAGCATAAATTTTCACTCATATCAGTAGTGTATCAGATACTCCTCATATCAATAGCATATCAGACACTCAGTGTATATCATCTATATATTGTAGTATATTACATACATATATTATATATATTACAAATGTATATCAGTTGTCATTTTAAAATTGGACTTTCATTTTTTTAAGTACTATATATACATTTTCTTTTTTGAGAAATTTAAATAATATATTTAAAAAAGCTACATGGGGTTACTATTTTACTAATTTTACTAAATATTTTTGCCATATTTCAATCGTCCGTTACGGTATTTCAATCGTCCATTACGGTTTTTCGAGTAGAACCATCAAGGTCCAATTTGTCCCTAAACTATTTCTGAAGGGTATTTTCGTAATTGCACCTTCACCGATAGCCCTTCTTTCTCTATCACTCACTCTCTTTGTTCAGCCTCATAACGATCTTCCTACCTTCGAGAACGGCGAGCGCGGCTGTGCGGTGACAAATCCACGGCGGCTCCGACCCGGCGACCTTTCCCCCTCCCTTCGAGAACGGCGGCGCACTCCCTGTTGACGGATACAGGCTACTCTCTCCGGTGACGCGACGGCGAGGCCTACAAGCGGCGGCGCAACCCGAGATTTGTCTCTGTTGTTTGAGGAGGTTGTTTGGTTTATGTTATTTGCTTGTATTCGTTTGTATCCTTGTGTTCCTTTCTGCAGCTCTTGATATTAGTCCTTTGTTCTAATATGAATTAGTTGGATGTGTTTGATATTAATTTTGAATGGAAGAGTGCATGCTGATATTGTTTAGGGCTTGTATGTTTACTGTAATTATGAGAATATGTTCTCATAGCATGCTGGAATGTTGTGGGTTAATTAATGCTAGTTTTGGTTACTTGTTGTGAGCATGATAGTAGAAAGTACGGCAGAATGTTGTGTCATGAGATCTAGAAAAGTTGTGGAAAGTTATGTGCATGTTTGATGCAAAGGGGCAGGGACTTTGTGAAACTCGAATGCCTAATTGCTGCAGTGCTGTATATGGAACTAGAATGCCCAAATAGTAGCTTGAGCGTGGGGTGTGAGAAGATTACTGACGTTTTTTTCTGGAATATAAGCTGAACTTTCATCGAGAAAAATGAAAGAATACAAAGGGGCATACAAAAAACTAGTCCAACAAAAGGAAACAAATTAATGGAGCAGGTTCAAATCAAGCAAGATCAAGCCTAAAGAGTAATTTCAATAAACCTTTGACACCGAGGCTGAAAGGGAGACATGAACCAAACTAGGTCCCACACCTCCTCATCCCTCTATCCCTCTAAAAATCTTGTTGTTTCTTTTAAACCACAAACCCCATAAATTTTCTTTCCTTTACTCTGTAGAAATTTTTCTTTGCGATTTTTGAGAATTTGTGAATTGGAAACTTTAATGGGTGGGAAATTTTCTTTGCTTTTCTCTGTAGAACTTGTTCTTTGTTCTCATTTCAGTTACTATTGCTCTATCTTGCTTGGTTGAATCCTTATTCATTTTTCCCCATTTTCTGGCTTTGTTTCAGTGGTTGCATGGCTGATAATAAAGTTGACATTATTAGTACCTCAGCAGAAACAAGATCAGACAATTTTAAGATTAAAAAAGGGGATAGACTCATATTAAGGGGTCTGAAGTTTAAAGGTTATCATGGGGTGCATCTTAGAGAAAAGGAAATGGGACAAATGTTTTTGGTGGATTTGGATGCTTGGTTGGATCTCCGGGCAGCTGGAAAATCTGATGACTTGACTGATACTGTAAGCTACACTGCTATTTATCGGTGAGTACTTTACTTTATTTAAGCCTCTTCTGTTATGATTTCTAATGTGTATTATCATATGTCTGTTAAGTTGGGCATTAATCTGAAGTGGAGATTGAATAAGTTCTGAAAGAATGTTGTTTAGGAAGCAGAAAGCAAGCTATCTATATTTGCATTCTATACAATGCGTGAAAACGTAGTATATTACGGCCCGTTTGGTAACATTCCTGTTTCTTGTTTCCGTTTTTTCATTTTTAATAAAGAAAAAATGAATTGCATATCCTAACATCTATGAAATCCAGTACGATAAAAAAAATATTTTTATTTATGTTTTGGAACAAATTGGAAATGGGAACAGGAAGGAAGAAACATGTTTCGGTTGTTTTCAGAATTTCTATACAATTTTGAGAATGTTTCCAAAAAAGGAGAAACAAGAAACATAGTTAGTTGCAAAATGCTTAGATTTCTTTAGAAAATTGGAAACGAGAAACAAGAAATGGGAATGTTACCAAACGGACCCTTTAAGTGCCCATTCCAACACTTGCAACATGCTCTTAGTCATACTGAATATGTAAAATGTGTGGCCTCGGTATCATCAAATATGTAATGAAGTTTTGACTACAATAGGATTATGTCAAGTAAATTTGTCCAGAGCTAATTTTAACATTTACCAAGGATGAAGGACTGAATTGAAAAATGTTAGAAACATGAAGGGCTAAATTGAAACTGTTTAAATAACCGGGACTAAATTGAAAAAATACTGGAAATTAAATATATTTAGCCTAATTTTGAAAAGTAATAGAAAATGAACTTAAACAAATAGCATGTTATTATGTGTTGTGTTTCTGAGAGGTTTTTTGTTTTGAACAACAGCATAGCAAAGGAAGTTATGACTGGACCATCACACGATCTTCTGGAATCAGTTGCTGAGGAAATTTCTTCGAAAATAATGATCGAGTATGGTCGAATAACAGCGGTTCGGGTGAAAGTTGCGAAGCCTGATCTTGATCTTGGTGGACCAATTGACTACTTAGGTGTTGAGATTTTCAGAAGTAGAGATAAAGATGTACCGATCTGATTCGCTTGTTAATTATTCAAACATGAACTCTACTTATCTATGTTTAAGAAGACATAAACTTGTATGGAAATGAAATAAAGTTCTTGTTAATTCATTATATTTGATGATCGTTTGAGTTTTAGCCGTAACAATTGGATCATAGTAGGTGAAAAAACACATTTGGTCACTACTTTAATCAAAGTAAGGATTTTATTCCTGTATATTCATATCGATAACAATTTAGTCTCTGAATTTTAACATGTTATAATTTAGTCTTTGTAGTTAGAATTTCTAACAATTTAGTCCTTCTTACAAAAATTCTCATCAATTCTCATCAAAATTAAGTGTCAATTTTTAATCATATTACGATTTAATTTTTTTAATTTCTTTCAATCTACATATATACCAAATTTAATTAAAATTTATTCAATGGGGATTAAATTAATAGGGACTACATTGTTGCGAAACTTTAAACTTCGACTAAATTGTTATATGCTAAATTTGAGTAACTAATGACTAAATTAATTTATCATGCAAGGATTTGGTGGGTTATTAGGAAAAATGAACTCATTTAAAGAGTTGACTTGTCCCTCAAAATGAGATGTTGGAAGGGTTTTAGGGGAAAATTAGCATTTTTGACCCCTCAAGTATTTTTGTTAGAGTTTTGACCTCTTTTTAAATTTTAAGTATTTCTAGCCCCTTTTACTTTTGTAAGTGTGATTATGAAAATACCCTCAGCACTTAAAATAACTTGTGAAAGATCTGTGTAAATTACTAATTTGATTGAGCTAGTTTTTATTTAGTTTCTATATTCTAAAGTTATTCATTTTATTATTTTTAACTTTTTAGATTTATTACCTGGGCATTATCGGCGATGAATCGAATCACAGCCTAGGCATTGATGGGTGATATCAATTACTAGAATTGAAAAGAACAGTTGAATTGACATCCGTGCAAAATATAGAGATTAACCTTAAAACATTGAGGTCGGCAGTTGGAACGCAACCTAAGGAGCCGAACTGACCTTTGGTGATGTCCGTAATGGTGTCTCTTCCGAACTTGACAACATGCCGCATTTTTAGGGTGTGTTAGAGTTCCTGTCGGGCCTAGTTTCTATAAATAGAAACTCTTGTCTTAAATGCAAGGTACGCAAACCTAGATATACTCGACAAGTTAGATCAGATTGGAACTAAGTTCTTGTTGGAGTGCTAACCTTGTTTTGCAGGTTCTTCAAGTGTTCTGGGAGGTCGTTTGGCAGCTCAAGGAAGATCCTTCCGATCACTCCGACCTATCTTTCTTCCGAGCTTGCCGAATTCGAGCTCAAACATTTAGTGCCGTCTATGGGGACGACATATTTGAAAGTTAGTCTCGCTTCTGCAATTTGAGCTAATGGCCCAAACCCGCTCCCAGCAGTCACGTTCTCAGCTCTCGCCGATCCGCTCTCCAAGGGGGGAT